ATTTTTAGTGAAGTTGATATATATTAACAATTAAGCATGACTTCTTTCAAGTTTATATTTTGAACATAACTTCCTTTTTATGTTAGGACTTCGTTTTTATTAGTTTTGGACACGTTACAGAAAGTATTAGTTTTATAGATATTTTGATATCTCAACTTTGATATTAGCCTATATACACTTACTGGTCCAGTGTGTTCTTGAGTATATAAGTCAGGTATGGGTACATACCCTTACTTGTTCAGGGTGTTCTCGAGTACATAGGTCAGGTATGTCTCTCCAGAGATGAGTTTAAGTATGTAGAGCGTTCTATATATATTTTTGTTCATATGGTATTTAATATTAATATAATTTTTTTATAATATTTTATAAAAAATATGAAATTCATTTTATTTACTGATTGCTCTATGTTAGCAAACGGTGCTGTTATATAAGAAATAAAATTTTTTGCCAATACTTTTAATTTTCAATAATCTATCTTATTTTAAAAGTACTCAAATCTTACAAAATTCTTTAAAATAATTTATTTAATTAGATTAGAACTGGTTTTTAAGTTCTACTCTTACATTTTTAAGAAATATGCATTCAAACAATGTTTCAACAAAGCCAATTTGCCAACAAATCAATGAAGTGTTCATTTGATAATTCCCAATCAAGCATAGAAAAGACGTCAAATGCGAACTGATTTTAATCCAATGTGCCAAATAAACTACTTACGAATCAACTATTTTCAAAATTATAATAAAATCTAATTGTGATTTATTGTGCATCGAGCTAGAAAAAATTAAAAATTAAAAATAAATACATTAAGCGCATTTGCAGCGCGGTAGAAACTACAAAACTTTAAAACAAGTCGCAAATCAAATGGTTTAAGGTTGGCGCTGTGACTTTGCCTGAAGCTGTGATTAAGTCATTGCCACCCAATAATGAAACTACCATAAGATACAATAATACAATATTAAAAAATTCAAAACCAAATGGACAAATGTTTACTACGAAAAATAGAGCAACTAAAAAAGTAATAGCAAAATATTTATATTAGTCACACAAAAATTCGCGAAATTCGGTCGAGAGACCCCGATAGTCGCGCGATAGGAGTAGAGGAGTGGTTTATGATTGAACGCTAAAAATTAACACATTTTTTTGCATATTAATTTTAATATTTTTTACTAGTTTTAATTTTGTATTGTTGCTTATTTAAGTAGCATTATCAGTTATGCGTCTCCCACCTCCTACCTCCCTCCTACACGAACAACCAAAGTATGTGACACAGACTGTTTAATTTGCAGTTGCAAATCCAACAGATACAGATTGGGAGTGAGTAGCTGCAAATTTCTGAAAGCGAACACGTGCTCCATTTGCTTATTGCATTTGTCGCGTTGCATATTGCATACTGGAGCAAATGACGTTAGGCGAACGAACGAGCAAATTAACCAATGCGTGAGTGTGTCTATTGTGGAAGTGAGTCACTAAAATTGTTAGTACGTCGGTTTTTTATATAATACATTTTTTTTTTGATATATTATTTTAAGTTATTTTACCGGCTTATGAGTATGTTTTGTTGTTGATACTAATTTTATTTACCATAGTAGTGTGAAGATATATTTACATTTTGTTATATGACTTATCCAAAGCTATATATTAACCTCATGTGTAATTATACTCTCATATGTCGAATAAAAAATTTAGTAATTTATTTAATTAAAATACATGCAAAAAAATGGATTTATAGGATAATAGAAACATTTCAGAGAATTTACTCGCTTTGGCACTTCTATAGATGTCTCCCTAGAGATACCGGAGTATATTTCACCAGACACTCTTAAAAGAAGCACTTACATATATGTACTTCCTGTAGCTAGTTTATAATTTGGGAAAGTTAGTCACAAAAAGTAAAATGATACACATAGACCATTTATTGCCTCATTGAGGTACCATATACGGTACCCTAGAGGTGCCGGATCATATTTCTCTAGACACCGTTAATAGAAGCACTTATATTTACTTTTTTAAGCTAGCTTATAATAGGTAAAATCAGTAACAAAAGCTAAAATATCCAGATCGATCTGAGCTTAAAGACACACATATACCATTTACTGCCTCATTGAGATGCTGTATACGATACCCTAGAGATAACGGCGTATATTTCACCAGACACTGTTAAAAAAAGCACTTATATCTACTTTCTGTAGCTAGTTTATAATACGGAAAAGTTAGTCACAAAATGCAAAATATTCAGAACGATCTGGCCTTGATGACACATATAGACCATTTACTGCCATAAAGACCATAACAGTCGATTTTTCTTTAACCTATTATCTACATTTATTAAATTTCTATTTATATATATCTCTATTTATAAAACTATTTTCATTCTTTGTAGAATTTTGTTTTCATTATCTATGGAAGTGTTTCACGGGTAACAGGCTTTCTGTCAACTGCATTTATAGATGCTATAAACTTTTAAGAAGAAGATAGTGACGTCGTAGTTAGTGTACGCTAACTGCTTAAGTTATTGCTTTTGTTATATTTAATTACTTTATCATATTACGCAATTTGCTTCTGTTGCTTATATCAGTATAGAGACAGGCCCTACTTTTTCTATATAAATAAATTTAAGCGTATTTTATTCCAATTGGGTCAGTTTAAACTGGTTCTCTGCTTGATATTTCGGTTAATTCTTGGTCTAAGTTCTTGCTTATTTGCAGTGAACTAGCGATATCCCTTATGATATATGTATGTAAATATATATAATGTAAAAAATTTAATATTACGATACAACGTGTATAAAAAAAGTTTGGTATTATATATTAATAACTGATAACTCACACACTTCGTATCTTTTCATTCCTAAAAACCATGGCTGTACTACAAACACGATCAACATTGACTTGTTCATGTTATATATATTATATATGGATGTAGTTTAAATTCTGTAATCGTATATGAATTTTAATATGTATTGTTCAGTATTGTTGCAGCTAATATGTATCTATTATTTTTATAATATTTTGGTTAGAAGATGATTCGGCATATTCAGCCCTGAAATAATTAATGATGTTTACTCGTTTTAATCATGTTCCAAATAAACACAAATTTTAACTTTTTTCGAAGATGATTTTTTGATTTCTAACATTACGATTACTTGCGATAACCAAAGTCCCTTTCAGCAAAAACGAGTTTTTAATAAAAATGATTAATTATTCTTGATCTATAAAAGGACTACGGTCACTGAAAGTGAATGTGAGGAAAAAAGGACATGAAGAGTATGTTTATAACAAAAACTGTTTTTGATGTTTTTGATTTAATGACATTGAAATAAGTGAATTTAAAGAAAAATAAGTTTTTTATGTTTATAAATTCAATTGGGCGTTAATTCCATTTTACATTTTTTAAATTTTAACCCAATAACGTTTATTTTATAACTAACAAAGTCGACTATATTTCCGATAATATAATAAGAATAGTAATCTTCATTGTCGTTGGTTCTGCAAATCATATTAAGTGTTGGTCTTCTATGGAAAATTATACATATGATATGGTATATACAGTATAGTACATATTTCTATATGTAATATGCTATTATATGGTCATATGTACTATTTTGAAACTCAGATTCTTTAAATGTCTTTTAGTTGTGTAAGGCATCGTTACAAGAATTTGCGGAGATTGATTCGTATCTTATTGTGCTTTTGGCTTCTCTGTTCTTTGTGTTTTAAGACCATATATTAATATATTTAGGAATAGGAAAAGGAATAGGAATAAACAGGGTACCAGCTCCCAACGCAGCAGAGCAGTGCGACCATGGTTGACTAAACAGAAGACATTCTGCCTTCCGGCCATTGAGGACCTCCTGATCTCAGTAGGAAAGAGTAGTTCTTGACCCAGTAACCTTCTCATGGGCAGTCACAGAGAATGTGACTGGAAGTTTCGTCTGCTTCTAACCAGAGTCAGCAATTTATCTCTTCGGACAGACCCATTTTGTTAAGGTGATAACGCAGTCCATGGTGACCCGTTATATATCCCATCAGCAACCTCAACTCTGTTCTGCTGAACAAGGATACCTTGCCATTATATATCTATATAAGGTTTAAATTATTTGATTGACTTTCCACATATTAAGACTTGAGAACCTATTAGATTTAACAATATCTGAGAATTTAGTTCATAGTCCAACGATTGATAATTATGTTTTGACTTTTTTTAAAAATTATTATTTATCAAAAACTGCCACAATCGAGAATTTTTAATTGATCAATAAAATCATTATCATTAAAAGACTACGTTGATCTTTGATTTTGTTTCACATTTTCAATCTTAGCAGCTCTGATGCTTATGTATTTCAATACTTTTTAATATTAATAAACTTTTGGATGCTAGTTAAAATTCAAATAAAGTCAATAGGAAGTTGAAGGCAAAAAGACACAAATTTTGTTTTTTATTTTTAATTTATAAATGAACAGCTCAAAACTTTGCAGACAGTCTCAGAAATTATTTTGTACATAGAGTTCTGGAAATTTTACAATTCAAACTACAAAGAAGCTAAAATGAAGAGCTGAACTTTTGCCTGAATTACATATTTACTTGACGTTGTAGTTGTGCTGATATGAAATACTAGTTAACATTACGAATGTAACTAAATTAAAACAAGCAGGCAGTGCCTAACTCCAACCAGGCAGGAATAACTTCACAAACAAGCAAAGTTCCCTGCGGAAACTAAGGTACAATTTTCAACTTTAACTTTTGTAAGTGCTGCTCTGGAATCCAAATTGTAAATGCATAATTTTATATTATAACTAACAAAATCACAAAGTTTCATGTTTTAAACTAGAACCGAGATGACTATTGAATAGTTGAAAAGAGTAAGAGAGCAAAGATACTTACATCACTGAATATGAATGTTTTCACTTTAGTTTGTTACAGAATTTAAAGAACAATTTACTTCAAATAACAAAATCGCCAATTTATTGCATTATAAACTTAATTACTATTTAAATATTATTATTAATAATTAATTAAAAATATTCACTACGAATTATACTAAGCAAACTCTTAATAGTAACCACTACGTCTGACATACTTTCGTATAAAAAGGAATGCTAAAATATTGAACACAACTGCTACACTTATAAGACCAACGCAATCCAACCAAAATGTATAATCCGCAGTTCTGTAGGAACCACGTTGCAGCACTTCATAACCATTTTTCACGCATGGATGCTCCAAGTTTTGCGGACAATCTGTAAACGTATGTAGAATTAATAAAAAAAACATTAAAGAAAATTTTTATTAAAAAAAAACGCACCAATTTCATCAACATCTATCCAAAACTTATACATTAAGGCTTCATTAGAGTAGAAAAACAGTGATAAATATTTAATTATCGGTATAGAGTCCACATTATAATATGCACCACCAAATATTAAGAAGATCAAATCAAATGGTGCAGCGCACTCTGAAGCCATAGTATCAGTTTCGAAAAAACTGGACAAAAATAAACCATAACCAGTAGCAGCGATAGCTGCAAGACTCAATATCAAACCCATATTCAAAAATAGCAAAAACCCACGCGCATAATAGACAGCACCATAGACGACCGAGAAGAAAAGGAAACTTTTAAAGAACGCCATCGGAATGAAGGATAACACTACAGCCATATAATAGGCTGATGTACTATATATGCCTTCACCAACTTCTCGTCGCATTATAGGTAAGGCGGCAGGAAAAACGTATGTCACACCATATGAGAAAGTAAATATCATTTCTGTACTAAGCATGAATATTGAGCCACCAATATCTTGTACTGAGGTCTGAGTGAGTCCACTAATACCAGAATACATAATTGCCAAAGTACACGATGTTATCTATATAATTATATGTATATTAATTGTTTGTATAATGATTGTAACATAAATCATAAGCATACTTACCATAAAGAATCCTAAGCTCATCAGACCGCGTTTAATATTGCGACTATCTTCTGTTATAAACCGTAAAAGCAACAAATAAACTTGATATATCCAACGAATCTTCTTTCTGTTTATGAGAATCGATAATAAGTTATGTAATTATATTTCATATAAACATTTATTGTATATTTCTTCTACTAAAATAATAAATATTAAATTATTTATTGTATTAAAATAAAATTGTAAAGATAATAAAAATATTAAATATATATATGTTATATGGCTTAAATTTTTAAAAGCAATTTATTGGCTTAGTAATAAAGAATAAAATAATAGTCTTATTTTTTTTTCTTTGTAAAATTTATTTTATCTACATTATACATAGATAGGCTAATGTTGTATCACATCTATAGTATGTGCAGGATTTTTTTTTACTTACATATTTTTTAAATGATGCAAAGGATCTCCACTATAATTACGTGGTGCCAACCAACTGCCATGGTATAAACCTGCCGTCTCAAAGTCATATTTGGTTTTAATGGCATCGCCATCTCTATTACTAGTTCTTAAATAAAACTCAGCTGGATTACAGTTTTGTGGTATGCTATAGCCTAAGCTATATAAATAGTAATATAAAAATAAAAGTTTTTGAAATTATTTATTATATTAATTTACAAAATATTACAATATATATATATATATATATATAAATTATCACATTATCAGCAAGGGATTAAAGACGGGAAGAGGTATGGTTTGTGTCAGCAGGAGAGCTTCTTAATATGCATGTTATATTAATGCCTTTAGCTATATATGGAAATAATAATACTTTTCTTAATTATGTATATTGTCAAAAAGATCTATGTTCATTTAAAATAAAGAATCTTTATTGGGGAAGTATAACAATCATAGTTCGCCCGTATGATTTATAGTATAGGTATTATATATAACTAGAAATTCATATCATTTAAAGGAATTAGGTTAGCATAGGTTGGCGTAACTGCCTTGTGCATCACACCCCACATTACCACAAATGTTGGCTCATTCTGATATTACGTATGAGCCTTAGCTTATAAACTATGACTAGTTTTAAAAGGTGGTTCATATTTTAAAGAATGGCAGCTTTGTCAAATAAATTAAAAAACGGATCCTAAAGACTTGAATCTTGTACTAGAAAGGCCAACACATGACTTTTTATTACTACTTTTCATTTAACGAGAATTTCCATAAAGTAGATTTAATTGATAATTGCATAAACTATTGTGCAAACTATTTTATTATATATATGTATTTATTATTATATATATTTATGATTATATATATTTATTATTACGTATATTTTTTATTATATATATTTATTATTATATAGTTATCCCTCATGCTTTATAGGGGTGTATGTTGATGGCGACACATTTTTAAAAATAAACTGTTGTTCTAAAGTTTCTAATAATGGGGTTTTAATATTGAAAGGCTTTTATTTTAAGTTTCTTTCAAAACTACATATAAATCTACGGGCGGTTCTATTTTTAATAAAAAAAAGTAAATGACTTTCACCAAACAATAGAATTTTGTGATACATGAGTAGATACTTTCTTTCAATTTCCCTCATAATATTTTTCTCTAAAATGGGGTAAGTTTTACGCAATTGTATTTTTATTGGTTTTTTTTTGGGTTGTATACAAAGAGTTTTCATTTTAAAATAAAAATTTTAAAATTTTAATAATAAAATTATACAATTTTTTTTGTATTTTCAATTTTGTTTCTTTTGGCTTAAAATTTGCATACTAGATTATTCCGTTTCTTTTAAATCCTGCTTTTTTAGATCAATATTTTTTTATACCTAAACAAGGAACATTTTTGTTAACCGAATTCAAATTATGAAAGGGAATATAATTTTTCAATTGTAATAATACTTTAGTTCTTAAAGCCTTGAATACTGTTAAAACAAATAACTATTTAGCAGTAACTTACTCTGTAAAAAACTGTAAAGCTTTTTCTGTACTGCCCTGATATATGATCCGACCTGCATCCATTAGTATGATGTGTGTGAACAGCTCAAATATATCCGAAGTTGGCTGATGTATAGAACAGATAATAGCTTTCTTTTGTCTACCATTCGGACTGTTATTGAATACACTTAACGAAGGCAGCTCCTTTAGAGATTCAAATAAATTTTCATTCGATTTAAAAACTTCCATTTCAATTGAACTACGACTACTTATATCGCTGGGCGTGCTAAACGAATCTTCACCATAGAGTGAGGTAAGGGAACTCTTAACAACACGATGACGAGTACATAGATGACGTAAAGTTTTTACTACTGTATAGGCACTATAACTGTCTAAACCAGTTGTTGGTTCGTCACAAAACAGGAAAGGTGGATCTATAATTAGCTTAAATGAAGAGAAATAAAAATATTATATATTCATTTAAAATAGAAATATAATTATTTAATATTTAATAACTTAATTACTTGCTAATTAAAAAATAAAAATATATATCTTAATTTTTCTTACCTCCTCAGCCAAACTTAATCGCTTTCGCTCGCCACCCGATAGCTGCTGTATGCGGGTGTTCGCAGCATCTCGCAGTCCTACTGCTAAAAGTAGGTCATTAACCCGTTGACGTTTTTGAGATTTTGTTGTTTTTCTATGCATTTTAAAATGTGACTACATACGAAAGAAAAAAAAATTGATTGTATTCGTATGTGAGTATACAAAATATTGAGTCTAAAGCTGACTTACCATAAAATACAAGTGCTCGTATGCGGTAAAGGTTTTAACATTGATTTCAAATTGTGGCAAAAAACTTGAGATGCGCGTCATATCATTGCGCGCCACTGCGACGCCGTTCAGCACAATATCGCCGCTTAAGTTACCGCGTAAACGCTGTGAAATAGCAGCGAGCAATGTGGTTTTGCCAGCACCACTGCAACCCAGTACAGCAATTAGATCTCCAGTTCTAATATGACCGCTTACTAATCAATGTTTTTGTTTAATTTTCAGCATTTCAAAGTTTTCGTGAACTTACCGTTCTTTAGGATGCGTATCTCCCTTAATTTTTGGCATTCCTGCCAAAAACTATAATTACTTTGTTCATTTGCTGGTACATAATAATCAAGGTTTTTCCATTCCAAAAGCAAACCACTACGCGATTCATTCATCTTACGGATAAAATTTTAATTTTTGCTTAATATAGCTTTCACTATATCTTTATGAATCCAATGAAACTATATTTTTATATATATATTTTTACACCAACTGTATGGGTTTCACTGATCACTGGAGACGTTGTTAACAACGTTAAACTCAATATTATAATGGAAAGCTGTAGCACATGTTGTTACTAGTGATAAATTTATAATCTTATCTCTGCTTAAAATTGGTTTCATTTAATTCACTTATAATGGAAATGCGTTCACATTCATTACACAGATGTATGTGTCATATATATGTCATATATAATTTTTGTTTTTATAACGCAACATCTTTATCTCTTTAATCTCAATTTTTTTTAAAATATTTACAATTGTAGACCACTTTTCACTTATCTTAATAATGACAACTCTTATCACAGTTATAAAAGTGACACCTTTTTTCTTAACAAATAAGTGTCTATTTTCCCATTAACACCAAATGCACTTATCACAACCTTTTCGTGCTACAGCCTCCCACTAACTATTAGCATAAGCAGAAAATCTTAACTACCAAGCCATTATTATGCGCTGCTTTTCGTCAGTGTGTGGCATTAATCAGTGTCAGTACAATATCTCATTACTAATGAAATCGTTTTATACTTAAACACAGGTTTCCCAAACTTTTCTTAATGCGTTCAAAATGATTAAACAAATTTAGATATATTTCTACAAAACAATAGCACACTATACACGTAAGAGGCCCAAGTCAGGAAAGTTTTTGGTGGTCCTTCAACCTGCACTCTTTTACTTAGTATGTTATAACGCACAAGAAATGGTATGTTATTTGGTAGTATAAAGGATTGAGTTTCAATTATTATATTATATATGGAATATGATATGCTAAAGGTATTTTGTTATATATTCATGCCCTTTCTTAAAAAGTGGAAGTAAACTTATCAGATTTATTAAACAAAGTTTGAGAAGATTATTATTTTTCCATGAATCTAAATATAAATAACTAGTTTTAGGACGATAGAACTTCTAAAGACAACATATGACCTCACTTTTTAAATTTTCTATCTAATTTTAAGAAAACTTTCTTTTTAAGTTCATTTATATAATCGTCTATCATTTAAATCTGCGTTACCAACTTTACAAGTAGTGTCTTTTTATGATGGCAGAATGCCAGGTTTTAATCTGTGATAGGAAGACAATACCGACCGGGAAGTTATGTGCTCTTTTTATATTACACACTTCTCAATGATGACATATAATGGTTTTCAATCAAAAGGTTAAATGCTTTCGTTTTCGGATAGGATCAGTTGTGTTCACAAAATAATCACTGGGTCCCACTTGTTGAAATGTGGGTATATATTAATCTATTTAATAGTGTTATTTTGATGAATTTTTTAAAGTTCAAATCCTTTAAATTTGTTACACATATTTTTAAATTAATTTTCTAGGGAAATTGAGTGCAAATTTGTAGTTGGGAACCTCTGTATTAATAATTTCGAAATGATTTCACATCTTGCGGCTAAATGTGCAGTTGAATTTTATGTTACTTAAAAATTATGAAATATAAAACTACATATTAAACAATTTCATTTAACGCATAACCATGCATACAGAGTAAACCAATAAAAGTCTTATATAAGTAAAACAAAATCAACTATATTTAAACTATATTAAAAGGAAATTTTTAATTTCTGTAAAAGTACACAGACTGAGAGTAACAAATTAAACTTTATTATAAAGTCTATTAAATATGTTTATCTGATCGACTCCAAAAATTTTATTCTTAGCATAACATCACTACAAATTTGCCATAGCATTGAAAAAATTTATCAATACAACGTGAGATAGACACAGTAATAACACTTTTCGCCTATGTAATTCAACATCCTAACTCCATATCATATATATACACTTTCTATGTGAATATTCGACTTTGCCATCCAGAAAAAATAGATTTTTACGAAGGTACTCCTTTGATAGTCTATCAGATTGTTCATCGGTAAGACGAAAGACCTATTAGTTTAGATTCTTCCATCTTAGGGTTCCTTGCAAGGAATATGTTAGCAAAACATTTGAGGTACAAAAAAAGCTATATGATGCCCTACCACTGCCACTGCAACTGCAACTGACCAACCATATAAAAACAATATTATCTAATAGTATATATTACAATACAACATGCTGATCCAATTCTTACGTATACTAAAATGGTTCATTTTATTTCACAAATATTAAGTTCCATTCTAAATATTAAACTGCACATATAGTACATAACATATAACATATATCAACTTAATTTTAAATGAATTGAACACCCTGTATTTACATAATTTAAATTATGTTATTATTCACTATTCAGCAATGTTAGTGGTTTTAGTAGGTTCAGATACATTTCTAAGATTGATATATACAACTTAACATTTTAAAGACAAGTGTTTACATTTTATTAATAAAATTATAATTATTCTTCTATAGACAATGACTTTGACCTAAAATATCTATTTTCTAATTTTAAACATTTTATTTTATAGTTTGAGAAATTATAAGATAATTTAACATTTTTATATGCCAAATTATAGAAATTATATTTCGACAATTCACTTTAATATGCAATAAATAAATCATATAATATTTTTCTATCCAGGTTAGAAATGCATAAATAATATAAATTAGTATTTATTATATTGTTTAAAATTCATATAGAGTAAATGGGATTATAATTGGCGTACATGACAACTATAGACAAAATGTCAATAGCCATGCATATACTTTGCAATTTAATAACGATAGCAGTCATAAACTATTTGATACTGACTAATTTTAAAAAATCGAGAGATAGCTTTTGCGTAAATGCCAAGATTAATAGAAAACTTTCTTCACTTGCATCAACATGATACGTTGTATCATAGTACGATCCTAGTGATCATCTTACATAGTAATATACTTAAAGATCATGTTCTGTCAGGTTAACTGGGCGAAAGCTGCACGTAGCATATACTTATGGGCTGGCGATATCAGATATAATTAAACCTCTATGAAAATGTTGTGGGAATCATTTATTGTGAACTTATGATATATTTAAAATTTTATTACTCAGACAAAACCATTAAGCATTATTACCATTATTCTTTTGAAAATAAACTTTAATGGGATGTTACCCCAGACCCAGTGTGCAGGTCAATTTTATTTATAATTTTATTTATTTTTATTAATTAGTTTCGGGTTGCCTTCCCAATTTCAAAATCTCTAGTTCAGTACACTTAAGTGTAATTGTGCAGAGATTACTATGATACAGTAGGAATAATAAAAACCCCTGATATATAATAATTAGGTCAAGGTATTATTATTTTTTTTAACAAATATGAAAGTTATTAGAAATATGTAAATAAAAAATTAAATAAAAAGAAATAAATAAGAAGAAGATAAGATTTAACGTAAATATTAAAATGAGGAAACTTTTACTATACTTTGCTGTGACTAATGTATTTAACTTAATAAATATGCAGCAATATATGCTATTTTTCATACAGAGTCCATAGTAAATTCATATAAAAATGTGCTAAAGAGGTGTGATAAGTCTAAGTGTAAACATAGTATAAATTTTTATTTAAATATATCCTTGCACTACCCACAGCTACCCACAGTTAATAGTTCTGTCTGAATTAGAAAATATATTTATAATTGAATGCTAAACATTTACAAATATATGCATTAAATATATTAAAACTTTAAATTTTTTTTTATTTAATATGTTAAACAAAAAATAAATATAATGACATAAGTATATTAATTTTTCAAGTTTAATTAGAGGTGAAATACGTGTAATGGTGCAAGAAAACTACAAAACTTCAAGCAGTGTCTCTACGGTACTGAAAAATTTAGAAAATGTTAATAGGGCTTATACTATATAACATGAAGATATATTAATTCAAGTATTCAAATTCAGGTAAACTCATTGTTTCGTTTAAATTTGCATTATCCACATTGTTACTTTCACTATTAATTTCTCTATTTGGTTGAGTGGAACTACGTTTTGAAAAATTATTATTAGGCTTCGATAGGTTCACTTTTTGGATTGTTTGGATTGTCTGTGAGTTTCGGCTTTCTAAATATTGTTGATTCATTTTCGGAAAATTAATAAAAAAATCATAGAAGTTTTTTAAAGTATGATATGTTAATACATAACCCAGTTTAATTATAGACATAATACTAAAGCCCAAAAATAATGCTAAAGCACCACCGAATGAAACTGTAAAATTTCGTTTGATAAACTGATAATTATTTTTGATAATACAATTTTACCTAATAAGTCTTCTAAGCCGAATACCACATCTCTGCGAAAACGCACTTTTGGTGGTATAAGATCCCAACGAAAACTGGAAGTTGCTGAGTCACTTTTAGAACCATCCTCGTTAGCTTTTATTCCCCTTAATGATTATTTTATATTAATTTATTCATTAATGTTTTTTATTTAAAATTACCATGAGCTCTTCTTGACGGTTTGTACGGTGTATTCAATTTCAGCACAAGTGCTTGGACATTTGCAAATATGTAAAGCCCATATTGGCCACTTAAAATCTAGTAGACATTCGAAACCTGCGGGACTGCAACTAGGTCCTTCTACAACAAACTTTATAATACATCCACTTTATAACTAAATTAAGATCATTAATATACTTGCCCACAAAAGGATAAAAGAATGGCACGCAGTTGCACATTTCCAAAGCCATAACAGCACGACATCGTACTAGGCAAAGGGTTTTACTGTAAACCTATAAAAATATTATTATTAAATACTAACTATATACTGTGAATTATAATCTTACTTTAAGTTGTGATGTTTCTTCATCATAAAATACACATTTTCTTTGTTCCACATTCAAAGCTCTTAAATTTGCTGAAGCACTAAGAAGGATTGTTATATCTTTACTAACTTCTTTTTAGACCTTATCGTAAAAAGTACTTACACTGTTTCATGTACCTTATACGAAGCGATTATTTCATCTGATTTATGTAAAGAGATTACACTAGCATCGGTAGCTGATACTTCAAGTGGCGAATGTACATCGATCTGTAAAATACCATTATATTAAGAAATTCAAAGATATGATTTAAAAATATTTTAAATTTGTATAAATACCGTCCCAGTACTTTCAAAAAGATCCATTTTTATATAGCACTGCTGTTTACCGTACTGACAAGTTAGTGGTTGCCTTAAATCCTTATAAGTTATTTTACTATAATTAAGAAATTAATGAATAGTTTTACGATGTAATTAATCTCTAACAAAAGTAATCTACTTATATCGCA